CTGTCTGCCTGTGCTGGCCCCCATTCCCGTCATGCCGAAGTCAGGCTTGCTTGACTGGGACTCCCCGACCTAGTGTCAGGTCCCACTGTGCCCGCAGCGCCCAGCCATGCCCGCCTGACACTGCCCTGGTGAGCACTACCGTATGACCGCTGTAGGCACCTTGTCGCTGTGCCCCCTTTACCCCCAAAGAGGGCAGGCAAATCTCGTTTCCTAAGTGGGGTTTAGGGATTATATCTGGATACTGCCAGCATAATCTGCCAGTTTGGCAGAAGCCCCACCGGCGATTCATGAGGAGAGAGAGACCTTGAAATCACGATTGTGAAAGATCGATATACTTTTATTTGGCTTCTCTGTGAAGGAAGGGCCACTTATTTAAACAATTTAAAACAATCAAATAAGTGTTCCCTTACCGTGATAATAGTCATAATATGGATTTTTAGTTAGCATCTAAAGGTACAAAGTTGAAGCTGCCTACCCTCCTTAACTGCAAGCTACTTTTAAGATTATGCATGTCACATGTTGTCACACACCGCCCCCCAATCCCATGAGGGGAGAGCTTGATTACTATAGACACATTAGCCTCAGGGTATTTACAGCGAGCCTTGTGCAAAGAGGATCCAGGAAATGGCCCAGACAAGAGGCAGGACATCCGTAGACAGTGCTCCCTGGGCTGTGGCAGACCCAGGGCAGACACACCTGGATGGGGGAACAGATGGCGGGTAGGGAGTGGCCTCCAGCCTGAGAGGCGTGATGCTTGGAGTCCCTTCAAGAATCACACGCAGTTAGGACCATGAGTTTGCCCAGAAGCCCTCTGAACGCCTGTGCTCAGTCACGGTCACGGGATGCTGTGCTGTACTCGTGAGAGTGAGCACGGCGGGGGCGGGGAGTAGTGCTGGCAGTTCCTGTCCCCAGGTGATGCGGGAGCAGACTTGAGCGTAGCCTCACGGGTCCACAGAGCTGAAGACCCCAGTGACATGGGCACAGTGACGAAACCCCTCCCAGGGCCGCCCCACCCCCACCCCAGGGCGCCTGGTTCCTCTCAGCGTGCCTTCGTCTGGCCATGAGCGGATAAACACCGGTGTCACACGTTTCTGTCATTCCTCCCTGCCAAAGTCAGGGAGGTCTTTTCTTCCAAATACAGGCTTTTTGAATCCTCATCAGAATAAGCTCAGAGAAGCAGGGTAGGAAGTCGGAGTTTGTCGTAGCCGTCTTGTGGGACAGCCACGAATTGGCATCTGGATGTGACTTCGCCTCTGGACAGCTATGCATGAGGGACACTCGGGGGATGAGAGGTTGCGGGTGGACAGGCGGCTCCACCGAGCCAGCGTGTCCCTGGGGAGTGCTGTGAGGGGCCCTGGCTGTGCCCCGCAGAGCCCTGAGGTGGCGCCGCCTTGTCCCCACGCAGCACCCGGGAGCCCAGCGGGCCGAGGCCTTCGTGCGGGCCTTCCTGAAGCGCAGCACGCCGCGCCTGAGCCAGCAGGCCCGCGAGGACCAGCTGCAGCGCAAGGCCGTGGTGCTGGAGTACTTCGCGCGCCGGCCGCCCAAGGAGAAGAGGAAGCGGTGCCGAGGCCTCTCGGCCAGGCAGAGGCGGGGGCTGCGGCTGTTCGACGTCAAGCCGGAGCAGCAGAGGTGCGCCGCCTCCCGCCCCACCCCCTGAACCCTGGGGGCGCCTTCCCCCGGGGCTGACCCCAGCCAAACCTGGCCGCACCCGGCGGTGGCGCCCCTCCCGCCTCCGCCACCAGGGGGCAGCCGTCCCTCGCCGATCGGGACCGAGCTCGGGCTCCGCTGTTGCTATCCAGGCTGAGACTGGCTTCCGTCTTAACCTTAACTAATGAGACCCTTGCCAGTAGTGAGTCTGTTGCCCGTGGCAACGGGCTGTTTGTCTTTCGGCTTTCTTAGAAAAAGAGGAACGGGTATTAATATATATCTCTTCATGGCTTTTAATAGCACTAGACAGACTCACCCCCTGGGGTTTTATTGCCAAAGAACTGCTGCCCACATGTTTCGGAAGCTTCTGAGCCAGACCAGCACACCGTGGGAGGACTGCCCCTCCCCGCGGCTGACACCCCGCCCTCCTTGGCCAGGCTCTGTGTTTGTGTCTTAGGACTGTAGACTTTCGCTTCAAGATCTGTAGCCAAATAGCCTCCCACACCCCACTAGACAAGTAAAGGCCGTCGCTGCGTCCAGGGCCCCTCTCGGGAAATCAGCTGGGCGTTGGGTGGTGGAGGGGGCTGCTGCCCGCCCAGGCTGTGCCTCACTGTCCCCACCGGCAGAACCCACTTTGGATTTGAGCTCCCGGCCCTCATCTCTCTAACCCACGGTCTCGAGTGAACAGATCTCCAAGAGACACCAGGACGAGTGATAATGGCCCCCGAGGGAAGCCTCTGGGGTCCTCCCACCCGCCCCCTCCCCTTCGTCCCACCGCGTGCTCATTCACCTTCCATACAGACCTGTCACCTCACAGGAGGTCTGGCGTGACAACCAGCTGTTCTGGCTAAGGAGGACTTTACCTAGTCAGCTTCCTATGACAGAACTTGTCCCACCGCGTGCTCATTCACCTTCCAGACCTGTCACCTCACAGGAGGTCTGGCATGACAACCAGCTGTTCTGGCTAATGAGGACTTTACCTAGTCAGCTTCCAATGACAGAACCTCCAGAGCACAGCGGCTTAACCAGGACAGAAGTTCCCCGCGCCTTTCGCCCAGACGCACAGCGCGCTGGGCTGGTGTGGCAGGTGGCTCCACAGCCGTCAGGGACCCAGGCAGTTGCCCCGGGCGTGTCCCTGCTGCTCCACCCCCTTTCCTGGCCTCACCTGTCTGCCTGCGCTCCAGCTGTCACAGCCGGCCTAGCCAGCAGGAAGGATGAGGGGCAGAGGGAGGCGCGCCTTCCTCGTCTGGTTAGAAACGCAGCGTCAGGAGCGTGCCCCCAGGGAGGGAAGGGAGCTCTGAGAGGGGAAGGCCCTTGACCTGACTCAGGCTGTCCGCAGCAGACCCGGACATTCCCCCAGTCCCAGTGACCCCAGGCCGTCCTCGGCGTCGAGCCAAGCCCTGTAGTCTCTGGACATTATAATCCCAAGCTCGGTCACCTCACTCTCGACCCCTTTCTGTCTGCCACAGATACAATCTCTTTCTTCCTCTGCACGAACTCTGGAAACAGTACATCCGGGACTTGTGCGGTGGTCTCAAGCCAGACACGTGAGTTGCATTTCCGAAGCCTCGCCCTTCGGGGCCGAGCCCAGCTCTTACGCTGCTTGTGAATGCGCCAGGAGCCAGCCGTGCGCCCTGCCTGGCTGCCCGCGTGTGGGGCTCCCTGTCCCGGCGCACGATAAGAGCGTCTGTCCGCCTCACAGGCAGCCGCAGGTGATCCAGGCCAAGCTGCTGAAGGCGGATCTTCACGGCGCTGTCATTTCAGGTAATTCGCCCGGGGGCGCATGGCCGTGGGGGGCCCAGGCCCTTGGGCAGCACAGTGCTGTGTCGTAGTGTTAGCCATGTCCCTCGCCGCGCAGACGTCCCCAGATAGCAGCAAGGAGATCACTGGAGCCACCTTGGCCAGCTCTGGCCACTCGCCATATACTCCCGGTCGTCCCTGTGCCTTCCCCCCACCAGGACCCCCGCCGGTCTCCCGCGGGCACGCGCCCACAGCCCGGACTCTTGAACGGAAAGCCCCTTTCATCCAGTCCCACGGTCCTGAATGTCCCCCGTGGACTGGCAGCTCCCAGGTTGTCACCTCCAGCACAGACCTCTGCCCAGAACTCGCGAATGTAGCCCCCTGGGCGTCCGGCAGGCACGGCAGACGTCACACAGCCCGCCGCGAGTCCGGGCCTCTCCTCAGACCGGCCCCGCCCTGTTCCCTCGCCACAGCTCACAGGACACCGCGCACCCTGGCAATTCAGGCCGAGAGCCCCGGAGGTGTCCCCCGTCCTCTTTCCTCACCCCACCCCCTCGGCACGTCCGAGCACCTGAGTAGAGCCACCGCCATCCCCCTGGATGACACAGGAGCAGCCTGACCCTCCCTGGCTGACGCTGCTCCTGCCCAGACCCGGCTTGGAGGGTGCCCCCCTCCAGGTCCCCTAGGCCGCAGGGCCGAGCCCATAGGCCTGCTTCCTGCTTGTCACACCGGGATGGCCCCTCAGGGCCTGTGCATTTGCTCCTCGCTCTGCACAGAGTCTTGTGTTCACACGCGGACTCCTCATTCAGGTCCCCACTCAGATGTCACCTCCCTGAGGGTCAGCCATCGCCGGCGGTGCCCCCGCCATTACCCTGTCCTTGTGTTCTCTGTACCACGTGCCACTAGCAGGAAGCACAGCTGTCCTGTCCGGCCCGGCCCGCGTCGCCCTCGCCCCGGTGGAACACGGGTCCGTGAGAGGCGCCGGCTGTCCTCGCTGCTGTGCCCAGCACCTCCCAGGGCAGTGCCGAGCACGGAGCGGGTGCTCGGCGGACGTCACTGTGCCGGGCATGGGTCCGGCGAGGAGCCTGCGGCCTGCAGTGGCAGCTCTGCTCGCTCACACCTAGGCAGCCTGTGGCGGGGTCCCAAGGGGTCCCGTGCTGGCCAGAGTTCGGGAGCGCATGGGAAGACGTGAGGGGTGGGTGTTGCCAGGCCCCGTGAGACCTGGCCGTGTCCAAGCGCCCTGGCTCTGGGCACTGCTGGGCACACTGCCCTCCTGGCCCTGGAATCCTTCCCACACCCCCATGGCCGCAGGCCTTCTAAAGGACCCTTCGTCAGACCCCTCCAGAGACGCCCGGTCACAGGCACTGGGTGGGAAGCCAGATTCTCAGCAACTCGTCCCTGCCCCTCCGGCACCCCTCCTGCCCCCGCTGGCTGCCCGTGGCCCTCCAACATCACAGAGACCAAGTGATGTTGGTCTCTTCCTTTGCAGTCACAAAGTCCAAGTGTCCCTCCTACGTGGGTGTCACAGGAATCCTGCTGCAGGAAACAAAGCATGTTTTCAAAATAATCACCAAAGAAGACCGCCTGAAAGGTACCCACTGCCCCCGAGCGCCATGTGCGCTGGGCCCCCATCACGATCCGCCCCGCCTTGTGCTTCTAAGGTTCAATTTGGGCTGAAGTCAGCACCAGCCCCAGGTACCTGCTGACCCTGCGTCCTCGCCCAAGGCCACTGCTGCTCCTGGGCCCAGCTGCAGCCTGGCCAGATAGAGCCCAGGGCAGGAGGGCCACTGGGGCCTCCCACAGGCGTGCCTACACACAGCGGGACGGGGACGGGCTAAGGGACACCATTCTCGGGAGTCCCTGGAGCTGTGCCTCGGCGCGCCCCCTGGGCTGGAGGCGGGGTGAGCTCTAAGCCTCACACTGGAGCGGGCGGGTGCAGCCCGTGCGTCTGGGGACCTCAGCACTGTCCAAGGTTCTGTCCTGTCGTCTGTGAGCTGGTTCCTCGTGCTCCTTCCTCCCGCCTCCTGTGTCTGTTCCCTCCTTTGCAACCTCAGGAGGTGAGCGGGCTTCCCCAGCGAGCATGACACCTCAGGGCCCCTCGCAGTGAGGCCGCTCTCGGGGAGCGTGGCGCAGAGCCTTTGATCCTGCAAGTCAGGGGGTGCGCTACGTGTGAGGGCTGAGCAGAGGCCTCATGGTGGCGTGACCCCTGCAAGCCCGCTGCTCGTGCCCCCATGGGTCCCCCATGCCGGTCAGCTTGCTTCTGAGACGGGCGTCAGGCGGTCAGCGCGCACCCCGCGGGGAGCCTCACCCCGCCCCGTCCTGCTGCTTTTTGCAGTGATCCCCAAGCTGAACTGCGTGTTCGCCGTGGAGACCGACGGCTTCGTGTCCTACATTTACGGGAGCAAGTTCCAGCTCCGGTCAAGTGAGCGGTCCGCAAAGAAGTTCAAAGCGAAGGGGGCCATCGACCTGTGAGCCCTCGCTGCCTCCCGCGCCCCTCGCGACCACGGACGTGGAGACTCCCTGAGCGCCCAGCCCTGGTGGACACCGCCAGCCGGTCGGAGCGGGTCAGAGCGGCCACCCGCTGGGGGCACCCTGTGCTGAGCGGAGACCGGGCGTGCGGGTGGGTGTTTGGGGGATGGTCTTTTTCACTCCTCCACGGGAAGGGGAGACAGGCAGAAAACAGCAGCTCGACACCGGCTGACTCGAATGGCAGGCTCTTGGGTTTTGTTTTCTGTGTTTTTTGTGACAGGTCCGTCACCTACGTGATACTAAGTGCGCGTAGTGCACGTGCACTCGGCCCGCGGAGGGCGCCAGGGGTGGGAGGGGTCCGGGGCAGGCCTCCCCGTCACTTCTGGAGACACCTGCCATCAGGTGCCACGTGTCCCCTGCTCAGCGGTGCATCTTTGTCACCGTCCTTTAAGTCGCACTTGCTGCTGAACTGTGACCTAAGCAAGACTTCGCTGTTTGAGACGGTCGGAGAGCAGTGCCCGGGGCAGTTGCTTGGTGATAGGGCCCGATCCTCCAGGAATCAGAACCGGGCTGGGTCGCGAAGGGAGACGCCGGGTCCAGTGCGTCACGGGGCTGGTAGCGGGACCGGGAGCCGACGCTCAGCGCCGCGTTCTTGCTCCTGAGTCAGCGCAGAGCGGGGCGGCTGCAGCTCTTCCCAAGGCCAGGCCCCAGCAGGGGACTTCGCTGGCATCTGTAGTCCGGTTTTCACAGCCGAGGCCTGGCTCTCCCCTCTGACCCTCGCCCTGTGTGGCAGTGTGCCTGCGGCCCGGAGGCGAGGCCCTTCCCCATGGGGCCCAGTGGAGGCGGGCCCGGGGGCTGAGGGTGGGGCGGGGACCAGCCCCCCGGCATCTGTGTCGGAGAAGCCAGGCGGTGGGGGCGCCTGTTGCTCTCCCTCGGGGAAGCAGGCGTTTGCCACCAGTGAGGTCAGGGCAGACCATTCCTGGCGACAAACTGGGAGCAAGTGCCACGTGCTTTTCCTTTCACGCCCCGAGAGGAAAGAGGCAGCGATGCCCGAGCTTCACTCCTCAGCTTCCGCCCTCGGACTCCACCCTCCAGGACAAACGCCCCAGGGGAGAAGGGACCCGTTGAGCTTATGACGGGAGGCGGCTCTGGGCTGCTGCCTCCAAAGGCTCAGAGTGCAGAGTCACAGACTGGCCGCGGCCTGACTGCTTCCGGCGGCACGTGCCGCCCTGCTTGCCAGGCCGGTTCCGAGTGTCTTCCCGCTGTCCCTAGTGCCGCTGTCACTGCCTTTGGGCCAGAGCTCAAGTCCCAACGCCTCAGAAGGCACAGCCTGGCCCAGTGCCAGCCCTGGGCGGTGGCGCCCTCCCTGCGCCGCCTGGACACTCAGATCCACTGCTCCCTGCCCTGAGGGGCCGGGGCCAAGGTGTGGCCCGCTGTCTGGCCCGGGAGCCAAGCTGTCGGCATGGTGAGCAGATACTTCAGAAGTGTACGTGTGCTCCCTTTGTGACCTGGGCCCCAAGGAAGTCTGTCCTCTGCCTCCAACAGTTTGTCCCCAGCCACCTGAAAGTGCCACTCGGCAGAGCACAGGCGCTGGGCCGTCCTGCGCCGCAGCAGCCTGCCCACCCTCTGCAGCGGGGAGACCACCAGTCGCTGTCCGGAGAAGTTGGTGCCACTTGCACGTGCAGTCTGTTTCCCACTTGGCAGAGGCTCGAGTGTCCGTGAGTGGCTGTTTAATTTGTAGACTACTGCCGCCCTCTCCCCAGGGAGAGTCAGGAAGAACACTCACCTGCCACAAAGCTGCTGCTGTGCATGTCTGTTTCTAGAACACCCTGTTGTCCCCAGAGGCCACTGGGCCCTGTGCCCCAAAGACTACACCATCTTCCTGGGCAGAGGCGCGGACGGGAGGGCCCAGGCCAGGCAGGGCAGCGGCCTCGCTGAGCACTGCTGGGAGGCCCAGAACAGGGCCCGAGGCCTGGGCACAGGACCAGGGCCTGTCGCGGAGGGCAGCGTGTACTCTGAAGTCTCCTGTCTCCGCTCCCTGGGGAGCAGGACCCCAGGAGGGCTGGAGCCGTGGGCATGGAGGCCTGTGTGAGACACAGTGAGGTCGTGACCCAGAGGCCATGAGCCACAGGGCACTTAACGCCTTGGGCTGGGATGCGAGAGGCTGTGGGGCCAGGAGACGTCGGCCCAGTGACCCGTTGTTCCCCAGAGTGAACTGGCCCTGGGCCCTTTAGATTCCCCAGGGCCAGCCGTGTGGAGGACACGGCCACAGTGCAGGGACCACAGCGGAACAGAGGCGCCTGTAGGGAAGGCAAGTACGCACGGGCCATGGCCGTGCCTCAGCCCCCCGTTCTCACCACCCGGGGGCCAGAAGTCCAAAGGTGCCATCCAGTCATGGCCACTGAGAGCTTTCTCCTTGGCCACCACCGCTGTGTCCTCATGCAGCCTTCTGCGCACACTCAGAGAAGAATCTGATGCGTCTGCCCCTTAGAAAGACACCAGCCCTGTGGGACTACGGCCCCATCCATGTGACCTCTCTGAACCCTAATCACCTCAGAAGCCCCATCTCCAAATACATAGCGAGGTTTAGGGCTTCAACATGGGAGTCTGAGACACAGTTCCGTCCATGGAGCTGTCCCAGCCCCCGTTCTGACACTGGCCTGGCCTCCCACACCCGACCTGGCACGTGGCCCCTTAGCCAGCCCGTGCAGCCCAGATGCTGGGTGCTGAGCTCCCGGCACCACTGCCGCGTGACTCAGACGGGCCCTTGGGTCCAGCTGCTCCCTGCAGTTCCAGGAGCCCTGGGGTCGCTGTTTCCCGTTCATTTCTGCAAACAGCTGGGCTCCTCCCTTGCCCGCCCTTGGGGGCCAGCGCCAGGCTGGTTAGACGAAATGCTCGCACAAGTGGGCAAGGTGGGCAGGGGAGGCTTCCTGGAGGAGGTGGCCCTGGATGCAGGCGGCTGTGGCCTGTAAAGTGTGTGGTCACACTGAGGCTCAGGGCAGAGCCCTGCAGAGCCATCGAGGACCCAGAAAGTGACCAGCCCACTGGGCTCAGGGCCAGGAGAAGTGGGAGGGGGCTGGGGGGCTCTGGCTGCCAGTCCCAAACCCACCGGAGACGCCGAAGGTTCTGCCCCGCTGAGTGGGAAGGGAGAAATGTCAGGAGCTGCTGGAAACCTTCGAACCTCCAGGCCAGGACGTGGGATTCTACGGACCCAGTCACCCTGTCACCACCTGCCAAGCGGAGCCAAGAGGCTAGATGAGGGTTTCCTGGAGTGGGACCCTGGAGGTCCCGGCCCCAGCGGGGCACATGTGACCGGCAGCCAGGTCCTCAGCCAAGTCGGCTCCAGGGGGGCGCGGCGGCCTGGCGTTTGCAGCCCCAGCTGGTCCCTCTGATCTCTGACAGTTAGGGTAGCGGACGGCAGATGCTCTGACGTCAGGACTGTGGTTAAAGACTGTGGACTTGGGATGGCGTTTTCCAGGTGCTGGAGAAAATTGTCAAATGGCTGATCTCAGGTTCTGAAGAGTAAACATGAACCCCCTGCTCCAAATACCATAAATTATGGTAAAAAGCTTTCTTTCTGGACATGGCTTTCGTTCTGATTTAGTTTGCATTTCTTAGCCATAATGCCTAATTAAGACATCTGTTAAATGTCTATAATATTAATTTAATAGAGGGGGCTCTAATAGAACTGTATTGGAATTGTCCATTTAATTAACCTCGCGGGCCTTTAATGGATGTCTTAAATAGACGTCATTAACGAGAGTGCTAGACAAATTAAAATTAGAGTCAATAACATTCTTGGTAATTTTTCCTGAGCTGTGAAGGACGAGCACCACGAGGCAGACAGATGCAGAGACGGCGGAGTGTCGGGCTGGCGTCTGGCAGGGCCCCGCGGTCCTGCGTCCTGGTCAGCTTCGCTGGAGGACGGTGCTGCTCCAGCCCCGGGTGCAGATCTGCCCTCATGCACCTGCCACGAGAAGCGTTCGGAGGCCTATGAAGCGCAA